TGTTGGGTGTAGACTCGATGAACAAGGATTCAGTAATCCACCTCTCTCTCCACCTACCTATATTACTTACTTCTTAGGATTTTAACCCTCTCCCATCCTATTGTGTGGTTGTGTGGTAATGCATGCAGTGCAATCGCTGAGGTCTTTTCTAAATTACTTATCTTCGCGGGGTCAACCATTCTTGCCTTAGCTAAATTCTTATGTTCCGACAATCTGACTACCCCCGACCTACTAGTTTGACCTATGTAGTTGACTTACCTCACAGTCATTGCAAGGTATTTTGTAAATTATGTTATTTTGTCTAACTGGGTCAACCTACAGGGTTCTTTAACCTACAGAGCTTGTCCTACCTGATTGAGTTTGTAGGTTTAAATGCCACTCTAATTCCTGCTTTATTAATAATCCTACGTAGGGTCTCAGATGTCCCCTCCTTATATGGTAGAACTGAAGATGCCTTATATTCTCTCTTATTTGTGTTATCATTATTAGTTCCCCCATTATTTTTATTTTGTTTTTGACCTTTTCTGATCTTTCTGATGAATCTTATAGAATAATTATTTAACACCAGCGCTTCTTCTATCTGTTTTACTTAATCATTTAGGTCATTTTTTGTAGTACTTAGTGTCACTGCTCGGTTTGTTAGACACTTAAGTAAGCCTACCTTTATGGATAACGGATGAGATGAATTAAAGTCTAAATATCTATTAGAATGAGTTGGTTTTTTGTAAACGCTAGAGTGCAGTTTACCTTCTTCTATTAGTTTTATTTTACAATCTAAAATAGTCAATTCTCCTTGTTCATTTTCAGATCAAAATGTGAATTTTAATGTGAATTCAAATGTGAACTATTAAAATACATAAGCCAGACTACCCCATATGATCAATAGTAGATTTCAGGAATACCCCTACTTATGAATTATCAAAACACTTAGGTCTAATATTATATCCCATTACAAATCGTTCAAACTCTAGGCTAACTATGAGATGAAAAAGAAACTAAGTGACATTCAATTAGAGGATCATGAAACAATGGTTAGTTTTCACATAACTAGTCTTTATACTAATAAACCAATCAGTATGGCCTCAGAAGCAGCTAAAAGAGAACTGACTGCAGAAGCTGTAACCAGTAGGCTACAGCAAGTTGAAAGCGAGGCAGTAACGCATCGAAGAAGACATTGCGAAATGGTCGAGCTATGTCATGAATTGGCAGAAGTTAGAATTTATGCAATGGCCGTTGGATTGGGTCCCAGTGGCTGGTCTACGAGCTCGCCTTGTAACCAGAAGGTCATGGGTTCGAACTTTGGTGGTGAGTGCGTGCTGATGAAGAGTCCCAAACTGGGAAGAAACAGCTTTCCAGTACTTCCAGTCGGTTTACTAATGGTTCTGTCAGCCATGATGAAATCCTCCAACCAATTAAAACATCCCTACAAAAACCAATAGTTGTGAATTACGTAATTTGTTAATTAAAAATTTACAATTCTGACGACAAATCTTTGAAGTAATCATTTTGTTGTTAAGAAAATTAACCATATATACGCGATTGTGCAGCTTGACAATGACACCGCCGTAAAGAGTAACTCTTCGCTGAACGTCTTTTCTTTTATATGAAATGTAATTATTGCATGCAATAGTATTTATTCACTTAACGACTTATACCTAAACACATTTCATGAACCCAAACCCTTTTTCAATGTAAATTTCTTTCAAGTGAATAAGCAACTGATAGAAGTGACCGAAAGTTAATTAGGCAATGCTAGCTGGCTAACTCCGACTGCCTAAAAAGACTAGGAAAAACACTCGAAACTCTCTGGTTTACAGCTAGATTCAGTTTCTAAAGCACCATAAATTCTCTACATAATGTTCACCGTATATTTTATGTAATCAACCCAGGAAAGACAGTCAAACAGTTTTACTTCATTTTTAATATATTACTTGTATTTATATCAGAATGATCAAATAAAAGTCACCTATTTCATAACAGTAATGCAATTTCTTATCTTTATAAGGTTAACCTAATTAAATTCCACACCTGTGTTTTGATGCGTAAATATCAATCAGCACTGAAGAATGTATTACACTGGTCGTCTTCATTCCACTCGTCCGTATGCATCTCCCAGTCATACAAACGGGTGAAATGGCTTTTCTTAAAAGTAAAGGTAAACTCTCCCAATAAGACGGGATAAAGGTGCTACCAGTGTCAAACCGAGATACACGATCATTGCTACTCGCTGGGTTATATACAAATTATTTGTGTTGCTAGTTGAGATATTTTAATAATAACAAAACAGTCAACGCAGCTGCAGTGTTATTGCTGATGATCTTTTTTAGGTGAAAGTGACCGTTAAACGTTATATATATATATATATATATATATATATATATGCGTCAAGGGTGCATATAGCTAAGCATCAATTTGCACTATAACAAGACAATAATAGCTTAATGTACACAGTTGGTTAAATTACCCTAACCTAAGCCTACCAATTTTTCAGGTTGTATTTATTTATTTTTTTAAAACTTCACAAATTATTTATTCTACACATGAATTTCGAAATAAGCGATGTGAAAATCTGAATATTCTAATAACAGTGCCTCAGTAGGGTTAAATGTAAGAGTGATTAGACACTTGAATTTAAACAGTATCATGCATCTGACTTGATAATTATTTAACAACAAGTCCGTACAAATATCTTAGTTCTGCGATGAAACGATTTTAGTCTAAAGATCTTGAAGGTAAACTCTTTGAAATCAGCATCAGATGTTGCCGAACTAAAATCTTTGAAAGAGAATGAGTTTTTTGGGTAGATTAGTAGAAACAAACCCAGCTGATTTACTTCAATCTTATAGGAGGGAAAAGTTAGGAAGAGTAAGTTTCACATTTTAATATGGGTATTTATAAGTAGACTAAAGCATTAATATGCAGTGAATTAGAATTGAATGAACATCGTATTACTCATATTTCTGCGTCGTGCTGTGGTTAGTATCTGTGAATAAATTTGTGAAGAAAAGATAAAACATACGTTACAACAACTATGACTGATTGACAAGTCATGATAGAACTTTGCACTGAAGTGTATCAGTTCAACTGTGAGTTGTATTTTACAGGAATCAATCATAGTTTACTGAAGCATCAGTTAAAAATAAAAGCGTCAGCAAGTTTTAATGCATACAGACAAGTGTGAACATCGATTGAAGTAGAAAAGGTAGAAATCTAAGATGGGTTGAATACAAGAAATAAAAATAAATTTTTCAAAAGACTGACATTCTCTCTCCAATATTCAATTGGTTTGTGATGCCTTATTAAGTTTTTACAAGCGCTTCTACTACAACTACCGAAATGAAAAAAACCACAGCCACCACAATAATTCTTGCTTGCACAGAAATACTCAAAACTGACTATTACTTTAAGTAATATGTGCAACCAGGAATAACAATAAATGCTCTAAGACTAAACACGATATCCGGAAAAAGGTAACACCAGTGAAATTATCCTACTGTACTATAAATCTTATTCGCTAGCCAGATATTTATTCGCAAACAAAGCTGTTATCCATAAAGAACACTGAAAATCACTTCTACCTAACTATATTTAAAATATGATATAAACAGTATAAATTCTGCTTAACAGGCAATATTTCTTTCAATTAAGAACGTGAAATTCATCTAGCAGGAATGAATGACATCAGAATGTCGATAACTAAACCATTAAAAGTGTTATTTTATCTAGATCTGAACGCTTATCTACTACTGTAACAACAGAAGACAAGGACCAGGCAACAGATCCTTTATTAAGGAAAATCAACACATATTTATAGATTTTAATGTACATTATTGTAGATTATTGTTAGTAGAAAATACAGTCTTTTGATTGGTTGTTTCTCACAGAAAGTTAACCTTGCATCTCTTTGAGGCTGTGTCAGATCATCCATATGCTAACTGTATCCGCCTACGCAAAGCCTTTGTTCTCATTTTCTCACCACCAATATTGGGGACATAAACATTGACGTCAATTACTGTCTAGCAACTTTGGCTAGCAGCCAGCTCTCACCACACTACTAGTACTACTACTTATTACTAATGAAATATGAAATTAGATGAAAGCTTATTAATGTGAGGTGAATCAGTTACAGCGTAAGTTTATATATCTAACGGTCAAACACATGATTTAAATGTGACTATTGATGACACGTCTTTCCATATTAACTTGTTTATTAGATATATCATACTGTGAAATAGTATTATTTACTGAATGACAAAGTTTCGAACATAATTTATTATTCTTTATAATCATACCACTTATAACTACACAACTTCTTTACTCATCCCTATCTGTCGTAGGAGTAGTAGAATTTTTCAGTTGCCAGAACAAGTTTTGAATCATTTCTGTTACACTTATACTTATATCAACACGTAATTCAGTTGATTCGATAAATAAAGCTTCCGTTATCAATCTCTCCCTCCACCTTGTTACATTATATTTTAAAACTGTCATCCTATCCCATCCTATTGTATGGATGTATTATTGCATGTAGTACTATAGCTGAAACATTCTCCAGATTTCTTATCTTATTGGGGTCAACTAATCCAAATTTCGCTAGATTTTTGTGCTCCGCTAGTCTGACTGGTGGTCCTACTACTTTGACTTCACAATAATTTCAGGGTAGTAGATAAACTGAACTGTTTTGTTTGACTGGCTCTAAAGGGCCCCTTAACCGACAAAGCTTGTTTCTAAGTGCGTTTGTGGGTTCGAATGCCACTTTTATTCCTGCGTTGTTAAGGATTCTATGTAAGGCTTCCTAGGTTCCTTCTTTGTATGGAAGTACTAATGATGATTTAAATTGCTTACAGTTAGTCTTGTCATCATTCTGTTCATATTTGTCATGCATGTCGCCATTACATTGTCTTCCAAAAAGCAGATTACTTTATACTTGTGGCGTACCAACAGACAGAAGATATATATATATATATGTATAATGTTATCTAAATTTATGAATGGCTTACCTTCACTGCAGAGGGATCTGTAACCACAGAATCACCCATATTTGGATCGGGTCTCCAGATCTCACTTGGAGTAGTATTTTTCTCTTTTGTTACGGAGGCATCTTTCAAAAGATGCGATGAAGGATTTAACAAATTATTATCAGCGTTTGCTAGGTTGCCTTTATTAACAACATCACCGTTAGCATGAGAGTTACCATCACTTTGTGTTCCAATAGTCCTGTTGTTTTTCATTCTGAAAGATGTCATGGACGAGTCAACGTTTCCCGTGTCCGATGATTTCATTGTTGTGGTCGCTGTTGTTGTCATCGGTGTTGTGGTAGGTTTAGTTTGACAAGTGTCTTGCACATTTAAGGGAGTACCTAAAGCATGCCAACTGGCGCCTCGGTCATGTGTGATGACTGTGTATAGCGTACGATCTGGATTTAAACGTGTAGCTAAATATGTGCCACGCATTGATGCAACACGATAGAAGTCTGTAACAGGTGCATGATTCGGATATAAATGGTGTCTAAGAGATTCACTGAATACCGTGCCAGTAATATCTGATATAAATAACGCTCCGTAACCAGTATCTACAATAGGAGTATAAAAATGGGGTATTATTTTCGAAGTAAGGAAAGAACTGACATGATATCGCAACAATGAACCCAAAAAATATCTTTGAATAGTCGTATCGTTTCCATACAACAATCAACCTGCTAGACAACTTAAAGTTGACAAACAGATTTGATGGAAGCAATTGACCAGGGAAAAATTCACCGATTCAAACGATGAGAAGCCGTATTAGCTAAGGAGAGCATCAGATAAAGGAAAATAAAGTGAAAAGGTCAATCATACATACTATATGCTTCAGATTCAATGGTTAAGCAAATATGTAAGTGATATCGAATCCACGTTTTCGTAACAACCGGATTCATAAATAAGGAGGTAGAAATATTACGTGGTGTAAATTTAAATATCATAGGAATTCAAAGGGTTGTTAACTAAGTGGTTTGATAACCTAGTCTATTAAATTATGTACCGGATGGTTAAATGTTAGCATAAGAAAGCCTTCACTTCAAACTTAACGTTTGTCAGCATCCATTAACAACATATTTGTGTATTCCCTAAGCAGTTAAATATGAGTCATTAATCACCACAGAATGTAGTTTTCAGCTTATGAGATATAATTAAAATAACTTTGAAAGATTGTAGGTATTTGTACTAGCAGTTTTGCAGTTAATGTACAGTTGAGTCCTCAAAAAAGATGCGATATACTAGTGACTATTTGATATGAGTAGTTTAATACCACTCACATCAACCAATAGAGCCTGATAGCCAGATCTAAGTGATCTAAGCACCAGACTACTGTTTCGCTCACTTGGGGCTGAGATCATCATGAGTGTACACAGTCCCACTCAGCTCAGACAACCGAATCACTTTAAGGATTCTATATCTTGAGAGAAGTCAAAAAATGAAAGCACACGACAGATTAGCGAACCATGAATTTCCTTTAATACGCAAACTTTTAAATTCTATCTACATCATCAATTCTTAAAAGTCAGACATGTTTATAAAAATTTCGTTGTGTTTTTTCTGGAAATTATGATATTTAGAAGCACATAAATGGACTGTGTGAATATAACTAATATGGGATAAGAATAGGCTACATGATAGGAAAAACGCTTCATTTTTTGTGTGAATATTTACCTTATCTGTTTTGTTTAGAATACTATCTACAGTGAAATATTAAGAATAATAATCCCAAGACTAATAATAAGTCCAATAAGTTACCAGTAGCCTTAACACCTCCCAACAGGTAACAACTATCCATCATAAAAGATAAAGTTAATGATTATCAGTAAAGTAGACAAACCATATTTCAGTTGAAGAGAAAAAGTACACACAAAACAGGAAAGATTGGTAGAAATAAATCAAATACAGATTAGGACAAAGAAATATATATATATATATCCATGTTAAACTTTATGCACCAGTAGGTACCAGTGGAGTGCGACTGCACTAATGATCTTGAAATGCTGAGGGAGCAAGTTAGTGAACCCTAGTAAATAATATTGTAATAGAATATACTGACGAAGTGTCACACCACTAAACGGGATATCTGGTAAGTTCCAGGTTTGTTTTGCGAAAGATTAAGTCAAGGTTTAGACTAAGGACAGGTTAGGTTTAGGCTAACCTGGTGAGGACAAAATAAAGGTTGGCTCGAGTTAGATTAGGGAAATTTTCACGTTAGCTTTAGGTTAAGAAAAGATAAGTGTTAATTTTAGGGTTAGAAGACCCAGGTAATTACATGCATAGAATGTAGTTAAATTACTGCGTTTGTACTCCAATCCAAAACTGAAAGGTATATTTGTCACACGTCAGAGAACAGTACCCTGTGTAACAAGTTTATGCCTTTTAATTCATTATTTTCAAGAAGGTATATATTTTATGCACATAAGGTTGATGTTAATACTGCATTTAAAATTATTTATGGCATTCCGACTAATCTTAATTTTGCTCTAAGAGTTCGTCTTCTACAGACAGCTGAAGCAATCGGAATCCACCTTAAGAAGCCAAGCCTATGTGTTCAGAAGAAATTTGTGCAGCCACTTTCCTTACCGTAGCCATCTCTAGAAGAATGCATAAACAGGACTACGTCGCCCTCCTCCCCCTAAACTTTTAAAAGCTATAAAAATTATAATTGTCCAAATTATTTTATTTTACTTTTATTTATTTTGACCACTTCATCTTTAATTACGTGTTATCCTTGTAAAATTAATTTATTCTATCCATTTCTACCTTTTAAATGTGTATTGATTTTCTTCGTTAGTTATCATTGACATTTTGACACTGTTTAATTATTGTTAACAAACATATCGCCACTTGTTTGGTAAACTGTTGTGTATTGTAATAAAAATGCTATGTATATTAGAGTAGAGCCAGAGATGAGGATCTAATTGAAAAGTAAATATTTCTTCACTCAATCTTTCTGTTTTCTAAAATCACCTTTGTTGTGTGGTTGGTGCGTTCAAGGTCACAGATGTCTGTTGGTACCTACTGGTGCTTAAAATTTAACTTTGCCACAAAAACATAATGTATTCTTGTCACAATAAGGTTCATTTAGAACAATAATTACGATCCTGTTAAACTTTAATCCGACGCTCTTGTTTATTTTGTTATTATTACATTTTAATTCCTATTGGCAATCTTATTAATTTGACTCTTGATCGGAAATAGTTCTGAAACTCTCGTACCCAGTAAATAATACTGTTTCACTGTGTGTGTGTGTATGTGATATTTAAAAGCAGATTAATATGGAATTAAAATAAGTATAATTTAGGCAAGAAATTAAAATCATTGGCCATGAATACATACTTATTCACTCCTGAATAACGACAAGAAGATGTAATCTGTAGGATAGGAAAAATTCAGAGAGTATTTAAGGACAGATGGGTGTCGAAAACATGCCAGATCGAACCCACTCTAAAGTACAAATCAGAACATTCCTTCAGGTGATGGGCAGATTGCTGAGAGAAATAACACATCAAACTTGTGTGTTATTTTATATATTAAATAGACAAAGGACAGCAAATTTACTACGGTTTGCCGAAGCGATCACAATCAAACGATTTAAACCAGACTTATGCATACAGAAAGAGAGTGTGATTAACCTCTCACTCCCTTGGTAACTGAATTTTCATTTTGATTACAATTATCAGTCATCTAATTCAGTGATCTCAACTCACTGAACAAATCTTAATCTCATAAACTGTAACCGCCTTTGTTTTTTAGTTGCTGTGTGGACCTACAAGCTAACACTGTTTCTGTTAATCAATTTTTCTGTTTTCTGTCTTACCCCTCCCCCCTCTTTTCAACTTTGAAAGTGTATAAATGGATGATTATAACTTAAACTAAAAATTGTAATGCTTTCATTCTTTTTTGGATGCTTCAATTTTATCTCTTCTCTACTTTTACTCAAACATTAAAGTATGTTATTATCATTTATATAACCATTGTAATTTCAGGTAGTCTGCAGCTGATGAGAACCTGTGAAGTAGAATGATATGATTTTATACCGCAAATTTCGTCTTCCTTTCTTTATCGAGATTCCAAATTGATGAAGATTGATGAAGATGCACCTTGCCTTTCCAATTTGGGATAGCTTTGACATCTTCATCCGTGCTGTCACCTGTGGTTAAAACTCTGCTTCCTAGATAAGTGAAGAAAAAAACCTCTTCAAATTTCTCCCATTAATGGTTATTAGTGCTGTTTGTTGTTGCTATTGCATGGTTATCTTCATCACTTCCGTCTTCTCTATGTTCACTTAGAGCCCTGTCTTCGCTACTTATTCAGCCAGTTTGTTAGTTTTCGTCTGCAGGTCTTCGAGTTTGTGTAATACTAGACGTATTTCATCTGAGAAATCCAGATTTTCTAGAGCCATTTTATCGGTCCAACGTAATTCTGTCTTATTTGAGGGATGAAAACAATGAAATGCAACAATAAAAACATCATTGTTCAATTAATCATTCACAGTAATAACAGAAATCCTTGTAGAAGATTATTGGAACTATTTACTGAAAAGAAATCACCTTTATTAAAACAAAGAGAGATCAGACAACTTTTGAATATTTTGATATATGTTGCCTTTGTCTGAAGCTTTTGTATTTCCCACTGTCTTTACATTTCTTCTATTTCAAGACAAACACAGTATTTTACTTTCTACCCATTTGTCCTTGAATACAGTTATTTATCATATAAACACTGAATCTTTCAAGGGTCTATCAGAAACTTGTTTATGTATGGGAACACAAGCACCAACATATAGCAAAATGGGTAGAAAAATTAAGTTTATTGCAGCGATTAGTTTACATTATTAAATGAAAAGAAAAATTTTGAATACGTCTAAAGATCGAGAATAACATCTGAAACCTCCTCCCGCAATAAGACATCATTAATGCCAAATTATATAAACCAGTCTCTGTTCCTTTACATGAAAAAAAAAAAAAAATATATATATATATATATAAGATTAAACGCCCGCATGGCTAGTAATTCGGTTAGTTACTGTTAGACAGCAGTGAAAATATTTGTCATGTATTTCTAATAGTATATATATATATATATATTCCTGTGTACAGAGTATTCAGCTGAAGAATTCTGCCAAAATTTGATGAATTCATTAATTCATGCTTTATCAACCTTCGTTGATTGTTTTAAACTCTCACCGGGAAATAAACGTTTCCAACTATCATTACTGTGTTAAGGGCCTATTGTTTTTATCAATATTCTGTGTATGGTGTAAGTTAAACCTGCACATTTTAGCTACCCAACTGGTAACACTTACACAGATTTATTCTCCGTAGGAACATTAAGTGCATGAATATTTTTTAAATAGTTACCAATGTTTCAGATGCAGTTCACTTAGGGAGAGAAATTCCGTGACCTAGGTAGAAAATACTACAGTAGTGTTCATAACTAATTATCTTGTTCAGCAATATATAATGTTAGCTGGTGGCATTTAGGTCCCAAGGCACAGTTTAATATAAATGTACCGAAATTTGAGGAAATACTTACACGGATCATGTTATCAGTAAATAATGCTAGAAGAACAATAGAGAAAGAATTATGACTGGATAAAGGAAACATTTTGGTCAAAATTGTAATCAAATAATAGAAAACGGTGACCGATATTGATGGAAAAATTATCTGCCCAATGATTCATATTAATCGCATTTCCTTCTGTACATATTTTGGGCGACATGTTCTTGCAAGATTTAGGAGTGTGAAGTATTCCCATGTCATGAATTATAAGTCAGTCTGAACGAATAATATTCTTTTTAGGTTCTTACAGTTATAAAATAGAACATTTATCGTTGCAATAATAGCCATTTATGCGGTGGTTACATGTTTACGTGGAATGACAGACTCGCTATAGAGTAACAAAATAAAGAACATTTGTAGGCTGGGCTGAATGCAACTAAAAAACATTGTGAAATGTGACACGATAATGGTGATTAGTCATAACACATTAAGGAAGAGAAATTGACAAGTCAGTTCAGAGTTGCAAAAGGTGTTAGGTAAGTGGCCAGTGCAAAATAGAATGAATTAAGAAGGAGATAGTAAGGCTGTGGTGAATAGTTTATCATGAAGTAAATAACAGTTAGAGTAATATATTAAGAAAACAGCGTCATCTGCGCCGCATGTAGTTGAGACCATACTGCTGACATAAGTGAAAGACATAACTTCCTTCAGATTTTTCCTCCTGATAGTGAGTGGTGTTTGTTGTTGTTGGTTCGGTACCTTCATCACCTCTGTCTCCTTCATGTTAACCTACAGCTCTATATAGGCTGCTTTTTCCGACTTATTGGCTTTCGTTTCGATTTTTAACAAGGTATGGATAAAGGTGACATTCAAACCCCGCAAACTCGCATTAAAGCAAATCCTGCAAGGATTGTGAAGTCGGATCAGAGTAGTAGCCCCAAGTGAATTAGACTAGCGGAGCACAAAGTCCTAGTGAAATCTAGATTAGATTAGCTGATTCTGTTAACGTAAGGAATTCAGAAGTAGACTTATTTATAGCATTATATGCAGTTACATACCACCATACAACAGAATAGAACAAGGTGACAGTAATAAAATCGAATGTGACAGAGCGGAAGAAAAGATTCATAACTAAAACTTTATCGAGTCAAACGAGAACACATGCAGTAGGAATGACTAAACATCTATACCAGACATCTGGAAAACCGCCCCACCCGCACAACAAATAAGAAAGAAGGATAAAAACTGCAAAAATCAAGTTTCGAAGTTATTTAGTTACAAATGATACGGTTATAAACAACAAGCTGTTTTCAAAGCGTCATACAGTAACTAATACTGTTTAACTTTGTGATATATCTATACTAACACAAATTAATAGAAAATAAAGTAACTACTTGTAACCAAATTAATTATGAAAAATACCCATTTATTCATAAGTAAAAACACAGTTCTTTTTTGTACAGCGAAGAAATTTCTTTTCAACGACTTCATTTTCAAGCTGTACAGTCGTATTTATATTACAGAAAAGGTCATTAAGTGGCACTAAATAATTGCTCAGTCAATATACATATATGTGATAAGAATAACGATAATTGAAATGTTATAAGGGGTAGAGTTGAGGTGGTTAAATTACAAAATTATTAAAGATTGTTTTATAAGTGAATTGAAATCAAAGTGTTTTCAAAATGTGAAGTGTTGTCTAAAAATTTTAGAAAATTAGGAGTGCAATTACGATAAGAATGAAGATGTGAAGTGAAGTGGAAAGAATTCAAGTGGTAAAATAAAATAAGGTAAAAACTAGAAAGAACATTACTATGACAAAGGTAAAGAAAGGGGTTTGACAAAACGTTTTTGAACACATAATTTAGGTTTCCGTTCATGTATAGCTAAAGCTTCGGCTATGCATAAGTGAAGAAAACGTAAACTTTTGGATCGATTCGATTTTGCTATGTAGATAACTTTGAAAGACAAACCACGTGGGGCTAAATGACCTGACTCTAACAGGTGATCACAAATAGACGACTTCGCAGTTCTACGTTCGCCTTTCATTAACCAGACTGGATAGTGTTCAAAAGAAAGGGGCTTTGTCAAACCCCTTTCTATACCTTGGTCATAGTAATGTTCTTTCTAGTTTTTACTTTATTTTATTTTACCACTTGAATTCTTACTGTAACAACAGAAGACAAGGGACAGGCAACAGATCGTTTATTAAGGAAATCAAAGTATATTTATATATTTTCATGTACATTATTATAGTTTAGTTAAGCAAACAAACACAGTCTTCTGATAAGTTGTTTCTCACTTAAAGTTACTCTTTCATCTCTTTGTGACTGTTTCTTGAATGTCAGATCATCTATATGTTAACTGCATCCGCCTACGCAAAGTCTGCTGTGGTCGGTTTTGAATCAGTCTTTGTTCATATTTTCTCACGACAAATCTTGAGAACGTAAACATTGACGTAAATTACTGTCTACCAATTTGGCTAGTAGACAGCTCTCACCACATTTCCGCTTCACTTCACACCTTCATTCTTATCGTAATCCCACTCCTAATGTCAATGGACGTGAACATTGAACGTTTGTTTATTGGAACTGGCAGCCATTGGTGGGCAACTCGAAGACCAGGATGGTACGATCGCTTGCAAGTTGAATGAAGACTTGAACAAATACGAATAAAAGTACTTTATAACTTCATTTGTACTTAACATTTGTTTGTAGACTTTGTAGTTGTCTTCACTTTAATTGCCAAACAATATAATTTCGTTCAAGGAATACTGGTGTTTTGGATTTAAAGTTGAAAGCAATACATAGTATTTATCGGTTCAATCGCCTACGTCTTCATTACAATAGGAACTTAGGGCTAAGTTCCTTGACACCTAATTTTCTAAAATTTTTAGACAACACTTCACATTTTGAAAACACTTTGATTTCAATTCACTTATAAAACAATCTTTAATAATTTTGTAATTTAACCACCTCAACTCTACCCCTTATAACATTTCAATTATCGTTATTCTTATCACATATATGTATATTGACTGAGCAATTATTTAGTGCCACTTAATGACCTTTTCTGTAATATAAATACGACTGTACAGCTTGAAAATGAAGTCGTTGAAAAGAAATTTCTTCGCTGTACAAAAAAGAACTGTGTTTTTACTTACAAATTAATTATGATGTCTGACAATGAATTCTTATGAAAGTTGACATGATATAAAAGTTTGTTAGTCAGACTTTTTGCCTTAAATATATCTTGCATTCAAAGTTTCACATTTTGACAAATTCAGTAATAATATTCAAGGGAATATTTATTTATTGGAGTGAAAACATTTATGGATGTTTATTGCCAGTTCGTCAATCTGCAGATCCACTATTTAATTAAACCGCTAAGTCAAGTATTATGCTTAGGAAACTTTAGAAATATTAGTAAACATCTTAATGTTTGAAATAATATGATTCCTAAAGCTTTCCTTATAAAGAAAATGCTGATGAATGCAACTAGTTAGATGATGCAAACTTAACAATTAATTATCAAGCTTAATAAACATTGAAGTAGTCATTTTCGATTTCTTTCAGTATTTTTTGGGTAGAAATCATCAGATTTCCAACTGTTCTCGAGGTTTTGTATTGGTTAACTTTTGATTTCAAATACTGTGGATAAGTCTCATTCAGATATAAGGGAAGACAACTGCTTTTGAACAAAAAATGGATTCTAAAGTTGCAAGCTGAAGACAAAGGTTCACAAAGGTTGACTGGTTTGATTTCATCTACATCACAAATCGCCAAGATCACGAAAATGTCGATCAACTAGTTAACAGTAAACATATCTTTGTATTACCTAAAAGTCATCCACTTTTGCAATTAAGGAATCAATAAAAATCATTTTCAAACCGAAAGCTAAATAGAACTCATTCAAATGATTACTTAACAAACAACGATAAAGAATCGAATATTATGAAAAAGTAACTGTTTTGAATTGCATAATGTTCATTTTTCCTCAATTGTTGGTTTGCGAGAATTCGTTTGGTTTCAAAGTAGATCCCAAACTGATATTAGTTGGAAAACCTTTAGAAACCAAGATGTACTGGACAGTTATTTCTTCCCAGTTTAGGACCTCTTGAAGGATGAAACGAAAGACCTTGGACCTTCAAGTTGCAGACCAAACAATGCCCGCGTGTAACGAAAACATTTTAAACCAATTTTCGTATTAGTTTAAGAAATGAACAGCAAAATAAAACACAGAAATAAACATTTATAACTTACCATTAGGCGCATCTACATGAACAAAAGCTGAATCATCTTCAACTTCCAATACTGAGTAAAACTGTCATTTGTAAATAAAATGAAAGTAAAAATATAAAAGTTTGTAAGATATCATACTGTAAAAAGGTTTTTGATCTTCCATGAATAATATTAAGTTTTACTCACAACATTTATCAATAAGCTTGTTCACTAGACTGCACACATCACTTCTATCGTAATCTCAGTCTTTACAACAGAATTATACTCCGTTGAACGGAAATTTACTAGCTCTTCTCAAGGTTTCAGGAGAAGAAAGCAGAGTCAATATTGAAGTACTGTGATTTTGAAGTGAGAAATCGATTAATTTAAAAGTTACAAAATCCAGATTGGGTAAGGTAATTTGCCCCTTCACTTAGGAAAACACCAACCTGTTTCATAGAAAAATTATGACAGTGCATTGATACTTGGAAGATTCCAGTTATTTTTAAGTTAACAGACAATCTGACCCACCTTAACTTAGGGAACTGATTTTAAATTTCGACGAAAATCATTTAGAAATTAAAAATCACTGAAAGTGAAATAGTTGTTTATAACGTAAGTATGTTATATTCTGAATTATATCCATATCAATTTAATTGGTGGATGGTGACTAGCAGTGGAACCCAGGATGATGAGAATTTCGCCCTATTTGGGACTCGTCATTTGGATGTACCTGCATTGCGCATTGAGTGATGGTGTTCCCACCGAGGCTCGAACCCAGTGCCTATAGTCTCAAACTTGATAACCCAAAAGAACCTTCTAATTCAATGCCTAGTAAAATGTCAGTGTTATTTTATTGAGAAAATGTTACTTGATAAGTTAGCAGTTAGTCCTTGGTATTAATTTCGTACAGGATTATGTGAGCTAATAAATCCAACATTATTTTTTGTGTAGTTGAGTGTAAAAGTCAATAAGTACGACTTGAACATGTCATTCCATAGAAGTCCATCTAAAACTGAGGCCAACAAGGTGAGTAATAAGTCATTATTATTATTATACTCAATTCAGCTTACAAAACCAATCAGCTGAAACATGGATGAAATGTTTATTTTATTAACTGAAAACATGAATACAAATTATGCTCAAACAATAATGATTAAACACCGTGGATGGAGCATAATCTTCTTAAAAGCTTCATACAATTCTTCACATTAACAAATTTGAATAAGACAAGAACGACAAATGTACCAGGATTTCAATATGAACTGATTTTTCATTATCGTTTCGAGGATTCTTCTCAACTGACTGCCTAGAACCTGAACAATACAAAAATATTAATTAAATTATAGATTTGAACATGCTGTTTTCCACGATGATAAGGAGTAATTTGTAGGAATTAAGAGTAACATTAGTCAGGAATGATGTAAATTGTTGAATAATTAAACGTGAAGAGGATGGACCATTTATAGAAGATTTGCATGACTAAGCTTGTGAACAAAAGGACAAAGTTGAGCAGATGTTTTGTGGGTAGTTTAACTAGAAAGAGTATCAAAGGTAATAGGTTACGTAACCACAGAAAAACACTTTTTTATAAAATAGCCAAAAAGGGAAGGAGAGGGTAGTATGAGTCATGTTCAGGAAAGAAATAAAGTCTTGTAGACAGGACAGAAGATGACTTAGTAAGATTTGTAAACTTTATTATCACTGAAGCAGTGCAAGATTCACCACTGTCTCTTTCTGCGTGCATAGATTTGGTTTTATTGGTTTGATGGCGATTGATTCAGCAAAACGTGACAAGCTGGGTTTCTTTTGCCTGTTGATTAGTTTGAACGTCTTTAGATTGCCCAACAACATAGCGTGCAATCGCACTGTTTATTGCTTGTGGGCCCTTTAGTCTCAGGTTCTTTGGTATGTGTTCAGAAATGTGAACAAATTGTAGCCAGTTGAGAAGAAACTTCGAAATAATAAATCATGGGCTCATATTATTGCTGATGCGTTTTTTGATATTAAACGTAGGGTATTAAGTAAGGAAACCTCGCCTAGATTACTAGGTCACTAGTATTCTAGCCGGTCCCAAGCCCGGATAAAGAGGGAGGGTTGGGGCGTGGTGCTAGCAACTCCACCCCCAAAACTTAACCAAATTGCTACATAAACTTCAACGCACAAATATATTAAAATTTCTAAGAATACAAACAATAACCTTATTTTTCGCTGGAATCGGGGAAGTGAAATGATGCAGGCTGGTGAAAGCCTTCGGGAAGCCAGTCAGCCGATGTGCCTTCTTTCGACGAAAGCAAAAATAAGGATGGGGACGTGGAATATTCGTACAATGTACGAAACTGGAAAGGCTGCTCAGGTAGCCGCAGAAATGAGGAGATATAAAATAGAAGTGTTGGGAATCTGCGAGAGCAGATGGAACGGATGCGGAAGGTGCCAACTACCAACTGGAGAGACAATAATCTACTCCGGTCACCTAGAGGACGATCACGAGCACACCGAAGGGAGTAGCCATCATGATGTCACCAACAGCGGCTAAAGCTCTCATGCAGTGGGAACCAATCTCCTCCAGGATAATGACAGCCAGGTTCAACTCAAAAGGAAAAAAAGGTTACAATCATTCAATGCTACGCGCCTACAAACGTCTCAGAACAAGAAAAGAAGGAGGATTTCTACAGTCAACTACAAACAGTAATGGACAACGTCCCAAAGAGCGATATCAAAATCCTGATGGGTGACATGAATGCGAAACTGGGAGGAGACAATACAGGAAGAGAACTCACCATGAGTCGTGAGGCCCTCGGTGAAATGAACGAAAATGGTGAACTCTTCTCAGACTTCTGCACCTTCAATGATTTGGTGATTGGTGGCAGTGTGTTCAAACACAGGGATATACAAAAGGCAACATGGATTTCACCAGATGGACACACCAAAAACCAGATAGACTTCATTTCAATCTCAAGGAAGTGGAGACGGAGCCTACTGGACACAAGATCGAGGAGAGGAGCAGATGTGGGTTCAGACCACTATCTAGTACAAGGGACTTTCAAGGTGAAGCTGAAAGCCTCGAGGATAGCTGGGGATAGGCCACAATGCAAGTTCAACACGCAAAAACTGAAGGACACAATCACACAGGACATTTTCACTGCAACTGTCAGAGCAAAGCAGGAAACACTACGTGGCACCACTGAGGAATCATCCGTGGAAGACCATTGGAACTCTCTGAAGGTAATTTTCAACGAAACGTGTTCAACGGTTTTAGGAAGAAAGAAGAAACAAAACAAGGAATGGCTCTCAACGGATACTTGGAAGCTAATAGAGGAGAGGAGAATGGTGAAAGAGAAAATGATTCAATGCAAAGATGGACAAGAGAAAGAGACGCTGAACTCAACTTACACAGCACTGGACAAAGAAGTGAAGAAGAGTGCCAGGAAGGACAAAAGACAATTCTACGACAACCTGGCTACTGAAGCTGAGAAGGTAGCAGGCAAAAGGGACCTGAGGACACTATATCAGATAACCAAGTCTCTATCCGGGAAGAGATCAACACACGTGAAACCTATAAAAGACAGCCAAGGGAACCCAATTACCAAAGAAGAAAGACAGATTAAACAATGGGCGGACCACTTCAAAGGACTCTTGAACCGACCACCACCTACAACCCGTCCAGAAATACCAACAACAGCACGTACACAACTGCAAGTTGACACCAATCCTCCAACGAAAGCTGAAGTCATGAATGCAATCAAGCTTCTGAAAGCTGGAAAAGCAGCTGGACCAGATGGAATACCCCCAGAAGCACTGAAAGCGGACCCAGAAAAGACAGCAGATATGCTGACTCCATTATTGCAAAAGATCTGGAAGGAGGGAAAGGTGCCTACTGATTGGAGGAAAGGCTAACCAAAGAAGAGTGACCTAGGACTCTGCAAGAACTGGCGAGGAATCATGCTCCTGTCGAAGCCAAGTAAAATCCTGAGTCGCATCATCTTGGAGAGAATAAAGGACGCACTGGATACAGAACTCCGACCAGAACAAGCTGGATTCAGGAAAGGCAAATCATGTTCTGACCAAATTGCAACTCTACGCATCATCATCGAACAAAGCATGGAATGGCAATCAAACCTCTACCTCAACTTTATAGACTTTGAGAAGGCCTTCGACAGCGTTGGCCGCGAAGTAATTTGGGAACTACTAGAGTACTACGGCGTACCCCAAATATTCATCAACCTTATTCAATAGCTGTACGACAACGGCACATGTCAAGTGATCCACAACGGAAAACTCAGCGAGGCGTTTGGAGTAAACACAGGAGTCAGACAAGGGTGCTCATTATCACCAATGATATTCCTAATTGTGGTGGACTGGATTATGCGTCAGACAGTGAGAAACGGGAAGACAGGGATATCCTGGACCGACGTGAAGAATCCAGAAGACCTGGATTTCGGGGATGATTTATGTTTGATGTCACACAAAATCGAAGACTTACAAGCGAAAATCGACAAACTGGTCGAAGAAGGAGCAAAGACAGGACTCCAGGTGGACATAGACAAGACGGAGGTTATGAAAATAACCAACCAACAACAACAACAGCAGCAGCAACAACATCCAGCGCCAATCACCATCAACAGGAGGGATTTGAAAGAGGTTACTTCATTCACTTATCTATGGAGCATTGTCTCAACTACAGGAGGAACGGACGAGATGTCAAATCGAGAATCGGGAAGGCGACAAAACACATTCATCAACCTGAAACCAATCTGGAAATCTTCGTCACTCAGCATCAACAACAAAATTCGGATTTTCAATACAAACGTCAAGTCAGTCAGTTCTTCTATACGGATGGATCAGAAACTTGGCGGGTCACAAAGAATATTTCCAACAGGTTGCAGATCTTTATCAACAACTGTCTTCGTTCTATACTGAAGATTAGATGGCCGGAAAGAATCACAAACAAGAAGCTATGGGAACAAACAAAACAGGAACCAGTCGCTCAACAAATATGCAGGAGAAAGTGGAGATGGATTGGACACTCACTGAGGAGGCCGTTGGGTGACATCGCGCGTCAGGCTCTCAAGTGGAACCCGAAAGGGAAGCGGCGAGTGGGAC